TTAGTATTGTGACCACTGAACTATTGTGATTAAATATTATTAAACTATGGTTCAGTACTGATAAGACACAGCAGGGTGCAGTATTGGACCAATAAAAGGCTCCATTGACTCCCATTAAACATTAATATTTCAAAAACTATAAGTTGTACAGGCACCAAAAGGCATAGCCATCATTTGGCATAGGAGCTTTACAGATACAAATTACAATGGCAGCTCTAGGACAAAGTATGCAGGAGGAGAAGCGTGCCAAAGTGGAGATGACTTGGATGGGAAACAAATCACAATAATAACTCTGATAATAATAATGCATGTATAATGTGTTTTCTGTACCAGAAATGCACTTGATTCAGAAACTGAACAGATGAAATATATTTTCAGTCCGTTGAAATCTTTAAAAAAAATTCAGCAAACTTATTTTTTCCACTCATCTAAGTGTTTCCATTGAAGGTAAACATTTTTTAAGTTAAGAGTCAAAGGATTTTGGTGAAATGTCACGTGACTGTCACCGCGCCATGTTTCCATCTCTGCGTCAGGAAAACTTTGCAGGCAGGGAAAAGCTCCGGCCAGTGTTAACCACAGTGTTTATTACCTCAGAGCAGACATTGTAGTTCCGGTTTGCGCCTTCAAAATAAAAGCAGCAGCAACAATTTCTCACGTTTTGTGCTTCAGTAAACGTAGCAGCGCGCATACACACTTGTGCCAATATCACTTTATTCACATGCTTATTTATTTATAAAGACCCGTGATCGTATCCGGAAAAACAAACACCCAGTTTGTTTTACTCTGAAAATAAATGTCGCTGCGAGTCGCCAACTCTGCCAGTCCAAGCGCGCAGGCAGCAACAGGGAGAGAAAAAGAGTCAAGAAAGCACCAGGAACAAAGTTGTGGGACCTGCACCGCGGTGTTCACCCGTCAAATGTAATTACCATCTTTCCGCTTTCGGAATACAACCACCGGTAAACTTTTTAACACACTGGAATTGTGTTTTCGCCTTGAATAGTTAAAAAAGGCGTCTCCTGAAGCTTTTTTTTYCTTTTAGGGAGGAGGAGGAGCACATCGTGGACGCTTCTTTAAGTTTTAACATTAGTTAAAGACTTGTGCCTCACACTTCGTGAAAAAATGGCTTAAACTTGTTAATTTAAACACTTAAATCAAACCTTTAGAAGCAACACGTCTCCTGACCCCGGCTGGTTGACAGCAGAGGTGAGTTTCTTTTATTTAGGTCAATAAAACCGCAACGACTTGTTACTTTAATCACCATAACAGCGAATTACACCCTAATTTACATTTACTGCTTAGTTTTTCTCTATTTTGAGAGGTGGTGAGATAATAAAGTAGTATTTTTTTTGTACTCAGGATTTTGCACGTAGGTGTTGTGTGCAAGCTGAGCTTTAATTGGCTGAGTAAAGTCATGCTTTAGAGATAAAACATTAACTAAGACCAGGCCACTGCTGTTGCATTTTAAACGCTGTGTTTTAAGTCACACAAACTCCTCTAAACTAAAAACTGTTTTGTAAAAGCTGCAGCTCAAACGCTGTCAGGTTGTGACACTTGGTGGTTTTTGCATGTTTCTAACAGAGAGAGGAACCGAAATTTTGAAGTCAAACAGCTCGAGCTGCTTTTATTCCTTGACTGTACAGTAAAGTTGTTATTTTGGGGGTCTTGCATCATCCTTTTAAGATCTGCAACTCTGGGTCAACTCCTTTCATGTTGAAAAAAGCAAAGCATTGGAGGAGTAAATCAAAGCATAAGTCAGATTACACGTCCACAGAGCTAAAAACTGACTTCCCTAACTGTGTGTTTATGTTTTACACATGGCAACAAACAGGACATTTCATTTAATCTCTAGAATTAGACTGATTAAGTCGATTTTTGCAAACATTTTAACATTCTATTTATTTATTTTTGGCTGTTGCATTCCTGTCCGTGTACTTTTTAAAAAACTTTTACTTTTTAAAGATTCACGTCTCGGAGTAGAAATTTTTTTGTAATTCTCGGCATTGTTTCGTAATAAAACATGACTTACCTGAAAGTGAGTTTTTATATTCACGCTATTACAATAAGTCGCCAGTCTACTTATTTTTGGTGAATCTTACGATTTCTAATAAACCGTTTCGTAGTTAAAAATTGTTACGAATGGGCAAAGGAGGCCGAGCTCGCGTTTATTTGGGAAAACGCTGAGGTTGCTATGAAAACGCCATTTAAATTGAACAAATTGAGCAAATTTACACCATTATACAGATTTGATGTGTTTGTTTGATTGGTTTGTTCAACCAACTTATGGTCCACATTGACACAAAAAAGACAAAAAAACATGATCCACAACAACAAAAAGATAACTTATAAAAGACTTACATATCAGTATTTCCACATTTGTCTTTTGACTTTCCACATATTTGCTCTGAACTGGTTGTATTAAACTTTACTTTAGCTTTAGGGTCATAGATGAGAATTTTTCATAAATATCAAAACTTTTAGAGTTTGTTAACCAGCTTCGGATGCTATCATCCATTAAATGGACGTTATTAGCCGTTATCAGTCCCATAGAATGGCTTCAGACTGTCAGCTGGTTAGTATATTAGCCGTTATCAGTCCCATAGAATGGCTTCAGACTGTCAGCTGGTTAGTATGAGGCATAAAATCACTAAGGTTAATTTTAGAGAAAATGACCTGGGCTACGATAAAGTAGACTAGACTCCAGCGGTAGTAGATTGTTGCATTMCAACGTAAATGGCACTGGTTACCCACTAGAGGGCACTGTCGGGACTGTCTGAAGCCATTCTATGGGACTGATAACTGCTAATAACGTCCATTTAATGGACTGATAACGTCCGAACTGGCTGGTTTGTTGAATTTGCATAATTTCAACGGCATTTTCACAGCAACCTCAATGTTTTCTTGATCGACCCGTGACCTGGAAAAGTTAGGCTCCGCTAGTACTCGTAACTAAATGGTCTATTTAAATTAACATGTAGCCTGTCTGCGTTAAAATACAGAAACCACAGTGCCACCTATTGACCTGGCATGGAAACTGCAGCGGGTTCAATATCTTTTGTCGTCTCATAAAAACAGCGTTTGCAAACATAGCCTTAGTGTTGGAACTTGTAACGATCTACATTGGATAAGTTTGTGTGTAACGTTTGAAACGCTAGTGGATAATATGCGTCACTTCGAGACCAGCTTCATTTTTTTACACGTAGTCGGCATCAACTGTACCAGAGCATACCAAAGCAGAAAAATTTGTGGGTGGATAAAGTGTTGTAGGCAACACTATCCCCTTGTTTCAGTGTGTTTTCTATAATGGGGTTGGGTTTAAGAGCAGGGGTGGGTTTGTTTGGTTTGTCACAGTGTCTGTCAACAAACATACCAAACACACACACACAAAAAAACTTGCTTCAGGGCAAATACAAGAGGAGGCTTAAATGTTCTACGCCTTGTTCCTGCTACTGACTAACAAGTGTTACTGTAAGAGGCAAAACGGCAACAAAATCTGCTTTGTATATGAACTGTGATTGGAAATACTTTAATTCGTTGACCTCTGTTTGCACTTTTTAAATCAGAAATTAAAGTTCAAACAGGGTTAGCAGGTTTAGAATGTTTTTTTTTGTCTGAAACTTTTGCCAGTATAATAATAATAAAAATAAAACAGTTTTGTAAAMCAGTGTTTTAACATCGTTCCTCAGATGCCAGGTCTAAGTAGTCTGGTTTAATATCTGAATTTTAAATCATAACCCAGGAGAACCAATGAAATAAGAGTTTTATCATTTCAAAAAGGCTTAAGCAACTTCACAATCCAAACTAAGTTTTATTCCTTCCCGCAGGCGCAGAACCAGAGCTGTTGCACTGTGCTTCAAGACGCCTGGAAGTACATCACCTAATTTCATCCATTCTAGCGTTGGATTAATCATCTGCGATGGCACTACAAGGCGATATTGCAGAGGGAGGAGCCAAAGAAGAGTTTAATGAGATCATCAAGTGGAGATCTGGTATGTGTTTTGGTAGTTTGTTATAACGAGGGTGTTTTCCAAAAAAGTTGCCGTCCCGTATCGTGCACCCCGCGTTCGGCTTTGATGGATTTTTTTTGAAAACGACTCCTCATGACGGAACAAGGAAACGGTTTGTTGTTCAAAAGAAAGAAAGAAAACCCCGACAAGAGCCAGAAATCCTGTTGTGCATGGTTAACCTCAATTCCCGCGGAGGCAGGAGGAAAAAAAATGGGGGAGCAGAGGCGAAGCGAGCAACAAAGGCGTGAAACGAACCAGAGACTATGGAGCGTACTACGTTGTCTGAGAGAAAGAGAAAGTAGGCCGGAAAGGTAGCCGCACCCGGCGATCTGTTTCTCTTTCCCACCCCATAGGTTAATCTTTTGTAGACGCCGCCCTCAAGGGAAGAGACAATTACATACAAGCTGTTTGGCTGAGAGGAGTGCTTTAGTAGGACGTGTTTGGTCATTTAAGGATCTTTGGCTTTTTCAGTGATGGTTTGTTAGTGTTTTGACTTTCACGCTTAAATAAAAATATGAAAGACTTGCAGAACTACTTTTTCTATACAAGACTAGGCTAAAGAAGATAAATTACTCTTTCATTTTCTGACTGATTTATTATTCCAATATACTAGATTTAAAAAAARAAGAAGAAAGAAATGCATTGTATTCTCTGTATTTTGGACGTTTCTGATGTTTACATTAATTTTTTTTCTCAGAGGCAGGCATCCTTTTAAAGGTGAACATAGCATACAAAATTCGCTTTTTAAGCTGTTAAATGCATTTTGTTGTGTACTTGAAGTCTCTAGGAATGCAGGAAATTTGAATCTAGTCTCTYCAGTTGCTGCGTAGATATCTTCATATTCTGTTTGGGTCATRTTTTTTTTTCAACCTGTTTGATTTTTCTCTATTTTCTACGACCTTTTCTGAACTTCTGCGTCACAGCATTTGCGACTTACYGACTACAATTTGGTCGTTTTCCTTTGCTTCTGGGTGAGACTCTGGCTCCAACATGTAAGGCTGGATGGACAAGTCTTCCCTCATTGACATCTTGTAATTACTTTGTCAATAAAAAAGTTGCTGCACCCCAAAATAGTCGTAACCCCCTCTCTCTCTCAAAGTACAATAGACCACTCTAGAAGGTGGAGGGG